AGCAATAGCACTCTTGGCTGCTTGTGGTTCCTTGTCATAGCTGTGTGCACCCTGCAACTGTGCCTTCAGCCCACAGCAAGGGGGACCCCTGCACTGCCAGCAGCAGCATTTTTGGGGAGCTGGCAGTCACTGAAAGCAGCCCCACACCCCCCATTCCTGGAAGGCTGAAGCTGAGCAAGAATACACTGACCCAGCTTGACAGAGCCGTCGGTTCTGAGAAGGATGTTGTTGCTCTTGACATCTCGATGGATCACGTGGTTGGAGTGAAGAAAATCCAGTCCTTGCAGGCACTGAGAGAGAAAAGAGAACCAGGGGGGCAAAAAGTAGTGCTGTGAGTTCATCGCACAAGCAAGGAAACAGCTGTGGAAGGTTCCCTTTGCAGGGGAATGGGGAGGAATGGCAGAACACAGCGCCATTGAGAGCAAGAGCCTGCTGCTCCCACAGTAGCAGAGCAGCACCTTTCTCAGTGGAGAACTGCAAATGCCAATGCAAGAGACAGAGCTAGAATACAAGAGCAGGGGATAAGAGTACAGGAAGTGAGTCCAGTGAGTGTAGGGGCACTGGCAGACAGTTCCCTTGAGATGCTCTTGCTTGCCCATAGCCGAGCAGCAGCACAGAAACCAAGCTTGGCCCATGAAATCACTCCCATTCTGAGCCCCTGTTTCCCAGACAATGCAGCTCAAGGCCTTGGAAGCACAGATGGGATCCCTGACCTCCCGACTGACAGCTGCAATCTCTTCTTCAGACATTTGAATCTCATCGATGAGATCTCTCAGAGTGCCTCCGTCCATGTACTCCATCACCAGCCAGAGTTCCTCGTGCACAAGGTAGCTGAAAAAAGGAAACAAGGCCATGCAGGTGAACATGCATGGCTAGGTTGGTTTTTTGCTTGAGTCTTGTTTCTGGGTCCCTTAGAGACAAGGGCAGAAGTAAAGGCATAGACATTGCCTCTAGGCTGTGCAGTGTTTGCAGTCTGTGCTGTCTCAAGGAGAAAGGCAGTTTAGGAAGAGCCCAGATAAAAAACCTGTCACGCATGGCATTTCTGGAAATAAGCACCTAGTCTTCCTGGCATGCACAGCAATGGAAAAGAGGGGCAACAATGCAAGGGCAATCCTCTCTTGGATGGTTCATCAGCATTTAAGAAACTTGAAAAACTGAGTCCCAAAGAACTGTGGAGGCAATGAACTTAGAAGGTATTGAATTCTTAAGATAGGGCTGATGCAGGTTTTTGAACAATTTTCAGTCTGCATTTGCCAGGGTGGATTCATGCAGACAAAATGCAGTCTCTTCCCATCCATTGGAGATAAGTAGAGAAATAATCATTAACAGCTCTATTTCCTGCCACTGACCAAAGTGGGTTTTTAAGCTCTCATGCTTGTAGTATGTAAACAAACATTCAAGGGATAGGACCGTGACCACTCACCTGGCTAAGTAATTCACGATCCTGGGACTCCTATTACTCTCCATGATCGTGAATTACATTCATGGTTAGTATCTTCCTATTCACTCCTTGCACATTTATTTTCTTTATGGCCACCTCAAATGACATTGAAAAGGAGTAACTTGAGAAAATTGGTAGCATGAGACCACAACACACATGGAGCAAGTGATTTTGGAATGGCACAGCCAAGCTGTGCCAAAGTGCCTTGTGATTAGACCTCATCACTGGAGTAATTAGGGAGTGACATTGCAACAGCCCATTTCTCTG